ATTAATTGGCAAAATATTTTTTTTTTCACCGTAAACACAGGTAGAATAAATTTGAAATTAATTTCGTTTAAACAAAGTTTTGACGCGAGGCGATTACTTGCCGAAAGCTTTTAATTTACTGCAAACTTTGGCAATTGAGCTTTGCGTTTCTCCCAAGGCGCAGTCAAGTGAAAATTGGCAGCGTTTCGTTATTTACACGTCATGCATACAGCTTAATTCGCGGCAACTTTTCAACTTTCATTAAATGTTGAAACGACCGTCACTTCTCTGCTCTTTGTTACATGCAGCCGGTGGAAATGCACACCAGTAGTTTCGGCTCTCGGCGCCATATAGACACTCGCCCACATTCGCAGTCATGCAACGGCCTCATCACCGTCGTGTCTCTCCCTCGCCTCTGGCTCATGAAATTGTTCGACGAATGTGGAAACGACTTTGCCCGGTTTCCCAAATATTTGCAGGCAAACCAGACCGCTCGAGTTAAGACGGAGCGAACGAGGAAAGTTGGGCTGTAACAGTCGCGGCTAAAACTACAGTCGCGAGCCTGCCCCGGCGTGGCCTAGTTGGAAAAGTAACGCGCGATAAAGACGGCGATGTCCCCATCGACTGCGCGAGGCGGATTTTCCATTTTCGGCCGATATTGTCTGCCGCTCGCGACGCATGCAATGCTACCCGTATTTACGCGAAATCGACTTCGTGCCGTTCAGCGCGGCGATCGCGCGCTCTCGAAAGCGATTAGTTTTCGATCGAACATAGCGTGTAGCATTTTGAATGCAAATGAACAAAGCAATGGACCGGCTCGCCTGCGACGTACATAGCGTGGATCTGAATCCACCTCGAATCAATCTAAATAATCACGGATAAAGCTCGAGACAATTTGATCCGGTCCCGAATTCAATTTGAATCAGATAATGGTTTCCAGGTGATATTTGATCAGAATTACGCGGAAGATACAGTGGCGAGGCGGTTTTATTTCACTCGCTCGCAAAACGCAAACTCTCACGCTATTAATTGTCCATCGCCGGCATTATAATCCGCCGCTCAACAATTTTCATAACTGTACATATCGCGTGCGCTGCGAATTGATGGAAATTTAATATCGATAAAATGACAGTTGCAAATTTATATATATGGCAGTCAGTTATATCAATAAAATAACAGCTGTTATTTGATAAAATTTCAATAAACCTGCGAGTGAAAAAATAAACCGCGCGCACAACTGTGCCTTCCAACTTTCTGCAGCTACACAAGCAAAAATGTTAAACGTCGGTGAGCGCTTCCCCCTCACTTTCCCCCACCCTTTCGAACCCTTCGCGTCAATCTCGCTGACACGTTTATCGGGCCAGCTCCGGAGGGCTCCGTAAGCCAACCCCTAAATCCGTGGCAAATATATATTAAAAAAATACTCTGTCTCTCTCAGAGCCACATTGCGACGGTCCAATTCGGAGCGGAGAGTGAGACTCGCAGGCGGATAGACACGCCGAGCATTTCCTTCTTGCTAGCTCACGGCAAACCGTCGCCGCTGTAAACATTTTCCAGTGGCTCGGTCGGGAAACGCACCGCTGATACTAAAAATACTCATAACCGAGCGTCTTCAATACTTCCCCGTCGCGGATAATTGCCGGCTCATTATATAAAACGCCGCGCCGCTGTATTTTCCGATAGCCGCAACGAAAATATGGCGTGTCACCGCCGGTCGTCCGACAACACTCTTCATCATCGTCCGCATCGTTTTCGCGATGAGACGAGCGCTTTGTTAATTGATACGAAGCGCCTTAAATGGCGGGAATTAACTCTCCGTGACATGGCGCGCGATCCGTTCAGATTCAGCGATCAAGTTACTCGAGTATGAAAACACACGCACGTATATTATTTCGTTAACGGAATGAAGATAGCAGCGAAATGTTATTCTTCAATCAACGAAACTGAACACGAAACGCGAGTATTGCATATTCTTGTTATTCGTATTGCTCGCTCTTTCTCGCCAATTGTGCATTTTACAGTGATTTAATTCAAGTTTGATAAACTCGCGCACTTCGCTTAATACAAATCCATTTTCATCGGACATCAAAATTGCCTACTTTCGACATCGAGAGCGATTGCAAAAATTGTGAATTTCTAACATTTTCTCAGATTTTCGCTGAATTCATATAAATTTATGTCGGGGCAGTGTGAGCGCCACGAAATTCTTCACATATGACCTTTTTCACCATTTCGGAACATTTCGCGGAACTTAAAATCACGTCTGTGCATTTTTTTGCGAGCACAAACTTTGAAGCGTAATTTCATTAAACTTTGCGCTCACGAATATTAAAATTATGTACTGAAAAGTTTGTTTCTTTTTCGGGCGAGAAATTTTAATATCGAAGAGTTAAACAAAAGCCAACGAGATGAAAAGTTAAGTTTATCAATTGCCAAGCGACGCTCGCAGAAGTCACATCGCAATTTATGATCTCTCTCACCGCGTGCGATTCCCTTTCTGAAAATCCCGATCGTCCGCTTCGGGGTTAGAAATAAGCCCGAGCGCGCGTCGGAGTCGGCCGGGGCCACTTTCATTACGTATTCCGCGCAGGGGCGATAATGGTGGATCAACGCGGCTTCCGGACGTATCCCAATAAAGGTTACGGTGCTTCGGAGTGACCTTGGGATCGTCTTTATATTCAATATCATGAAATCGGGGAAAAAAACGAAGTTTCTTTTATTCGGATCGCCCCGCGCCTTCCCCCGATATGTCTCGGTTTATTTCGCTTCGCTTCCATTCTCATCCAACCGCGAGTGCAGCATTACACGGGCTGTTTGGAAATTAGAGGCAAATATGCCCGCGGCATCTCATTAATGTAATGACAAAAGTTTAGCGAGATTTATACGGCCGGAAGGAGCTCCTTTTCGAATTATAAGCATTTCCGCGAATCTTCATAGAACGAGCCGCTCGGTGGATATATCATATATCACCGCTGCAATTTCGGCTCTGTATCCTCGATTTTATCTACTGAAACTTCTCGTAAGAGCATTAAAGGACTTATCACTTGCCGAGGAGGCTTTACCAGACACATGTTCGCGCGAACTTTTACCGCTGTTCCAGCGCGACGGATGGGATAAAAAAAAAATATCTAGCAGCAATCTCCGCAAATGCCCGCGTACACTCAGTAAATATATATGTTACTCTGCCCCATCGTTCCGCTTTATAGTCTTAGGAGAATATTTCCAAGAACATAATAAAATTTCTTCCCCTCCCTTCTTTTGTCCCTCCACGTCTGACACTTCTTCCAGCAATCTCGAGTGCCGGGCTGTAGCGAGGGAGAGATACGAACGTAATTCGATGCCGCTCGTTTTCATCTCATTTTATAAAACATGCAGCCTTTTCACTCGCCGCGCACGAGCGTTTTTTTTTTTTTTTTTTTTCTATTACGCGGCATTTTTAAGGACGGTCCCCGGGCGCGAATGCAGAACTTTCGCGCCCCCAGCAAAATGCAGCCACTTCCCCGTTCATAGACCCCATCCTCGCAATTTAATGTGTCCTACTTAAAAAGACTTGGAGCTCGTGAGTTATCCTGGCGCGGCGCGATTAACAAATATCTCGGAAACCGGCGAATGCCACTGTGTACACGACTTGTTAATGCGCAAGAAATTCCTTTGAGCAACGTTTCGCAATTCCGCTGTAATTTACGTAAGAAATTAAATTACATAATATTGAAGAACACGGAAAAGAAAACGGAGTTAAAATGGAAGTAATTGCGACTGCGAGAAGTTTCTTCGCGAATTAATAACCTACACGTTAGAGTAATAAAAACTGACTAGTGAATTTTACTTTATTATTTTAAACCTCCTTGCTTTAAAATGACAGTTTAATCAAAGATGAAAAAGACACAAGGCGCAAATTATTTATAAATAAATATAATAAAGTTTGAAGGAAAATACGTATATATTTCTAACTCGCAACTTTGGGACTAATTGTAAATTATATTGCAAGTAATGGCTAGAAAAGTCAATTGATTAATATAGAAAAATTGTTGCGAATCTATCGAGTGATTTAGCAATTATTAAAGTATCTCAAAAAAAGATGAAAGTGACTCAGAATATTATTTGTTCACAATTTCTATTTTCCACGCCATTTCCTGAGAATTTTAGAAAGCAGCTTGATTAGTATCCCATTTAATTATATTAATTCGTTAATAATATATGCATGCACATGTGCGTGCATCGTTGAGCTTTCAATTTAATACCACGTATTTCTCTCTGGCAAATGGCCAGTTGATTCTATTCCCCTCCCCAATTGTTCGCGAACGTCTCCAGTGACTCTTCCACCCGTGCCGCCCTCGAGTTGTTTTGGCATCCGAAATCACATTGCTTAGCCGCTTAATTAATAGGGCAGGAGATGCTAAGAGGGTCGATATGCGAAGTGCGTGGGATATGCCCGTTCACTATAAACCATCCCGCCATTTATCGTGCACGGCGGAGCAAGAGCGCGCATACTCTACTGCGTGTGTGCGGCATATTACACGCTACATTGCTCCGTGCGCACCGTTTCCATCTCGAAATTGTTAATTCCCCGCGAACAATCTTGAATGGCGCAACTTCTCACTCGAGCAATTAAATAAATTGCTCTTCCAGCGCGTACTTCAATTAGAAAATTAAACACTTTCCCTCGTCGCGCACACACCGGGGACGCGAGTCATTGCAACAATCTTCAGATTAATTCGCGGAACGGGCAATCAACATTTTCATTCGGCTGTCGCGCCGTTTTTCCGCGAAAGCGTCGCCTGAAAGAGAAATTCAATTCAATTCACGCGTATACGGGACGAATAGCTTACGTGCATTACGTTTCCCCCGCTCGGGGGAATTCGAGACGCGAAAGACGTCTCTCCCAAATCTAACCTATGTAAATGCTCGGCCGTTATCACGTTTTTACGTTGACGCTTCGGCCACGAGGAAACGATGCGTTTTAACAGGTAGCGGTACACGCGAAAAAAAATCGAATGTGCAGTCGAGTAGCGTATACTCACCGGACGATCACTAATGACGACATCAGAGTCACGTCTTTTCTCCCGATGCTCTCTTCACGCACGAGGAACCATTGAAAAAGAGACCGTCCCCTTTGCCAGTCTCTCTCTCTCTCTCTCGCCGCTCGCCACGAGCCGGGAATTCAAAGGCTCGGGACGACAAAGCGAGGTCTCGCAAAGGTACACATGGTCCACGGCATTGTCCCGCACCGGTCCGGCAAATAATAAGTGGCCCGTGGTGAAGCAGCGAGATTTGTCCCCGCCGCAAAGGGATGGCTTTTCAATCGCGATCTCTCGTGTATCTTCGATATACTTTCTCCAATCTCGTACTTTGCGCTTTTAACTTCTCACGGAGCGCACATGTTTCACGGTGCGTTTACGCGCGTGCCGTTAGGCAGCCACGCGCGTTGGCGCTCGTACCCCGGTCATCCTCCCACCTGCGGTCCCGCCCCCCCCCCTCCCTCGGACGCCGGGGGCCCGTCGAGAAACGAGTCCCGGCACGCGACGGCGGCGACAACGACGATGACGGCTGACGGCGATCGGGAACGAGTGGGAGCGATGATGATGCGATACACGCCGGAAGTAGGAGCGTACCGAACGCCACAGCGCTCGGTATCGAACTGACTGAGCAAGCCAGCAGCTCTCTGGCCAGCTTACTCCTACCTCGCTCTCTCGCGGGGACGCGCGACG